TTGAGCTGTAAAGGGCTGAAAAAAAGATCTTTTATGGCTATTTATTGGATCATTGTGCTATATTTGTCATAGCTCAGACTTTTTAATGATACAATAGGGTTAATTGTTTACTGGGATTAACCTGTAAAAAATTTAAAAGGTACACTATGTAACATTCTGATTAAGGGTCCATCACCTGTTTGTTTCCATGGATATGTCATTGCTCTGCTTGAAATGACCCACAGTGTGACATTAAACAGCTCTACCTTACATTTATTCAATTACAACTGGTTTTAAAGCTTAAAAATACCTAGAAAAACTGAAATTCTGACTGAGAGGGCTCGCCTCTCCACAGATTTGACCTGTAACTTGGTACGGTTTGGGCTCCATGAAGATAGAACACTTTAATGCCATACTGTGAAACATTTCAGACCAAGCAATATTGAAGAAAACCATGGAGAAAAGCAATTGACAAAACCCTCCACCAGAAAAGTTACACAATGCGCCTTTAATTGCGACTAACCTTCTATAATCTATTACAAGTACTGCTCTGAAATGTGTACTTCAGTGTGGGCGTTGAAGTGTCTTGCTCACTGACACCACAACAGTTTATTTGCTCATTAGTCTACCAGTAAAAACGAGCTTATCTTTTCTGGGAAACACTTCAAAAGCCAACGTCTGGGCCCCGTTGCGTTTTTTATTACAAACCCCACTAATTTTATAAACACATCGACGTTATTTGAGGTGAGTTGTGGATATAAAAAGGTGTAAAGCTGCACAAACAAGGCGCAGATGGGCTGGAGGAGGGGATGACATTTCACTGGGAGCGTGTGAGTGATCAGACTAGCACTAACCAACCCACAAAAACACCAGGAGGCGAAAATGATGACTACAACGCGGACTACAAACATGGCCGAAACAGACTGTGAGCTAAATCTGTCTTTGCAGCGTCCCACATGTGTTGGAAGTGCTCGGAGGGTGACTGGCCCAGAGTTTGGCACGTGCGTTTGTTCTGTACCTGCCCACACGAGCGGCTGTAATTAAAATTAAACTGGTGGGAATAATAAAAAAGTTATGGTGCCGAGCAAACTCCAAGGACGAGCAAAAAAATGCAACGGTTAAGATATGATGTCCAGACTAAAGTCCAGACCAGAGTGAGGTAGCTGGGGTCAAAATCATCACCTTTAAGAGGACACAAGTCATCAAAATGAGCTGGGTGCTTCCTTAGTGATAAAGGAGGAGCTCAGTCACATGTGGGAGCTTGGAGTCGAGATGCTGCTCCTCCATGTTGAGAGGCGCATCTCTGAACGCCTCTTGGACGTCTCTCTGGAAAGGCACTGTGGTGAGGGAATCTGGAGTCCCTGCTTAGACTGCTGCTCCCACGACTCGATTAGTTTTATATTCTGCCGCAACTTACAGCACTACAAACACTAAAATCTTTGAACTAACTTCAATTAAGAACATTGATTTGAGTAAATTTCACATGACAATTAAAATTATCTACCAATGAAATTAGACTTTTTGTACTTGAAATAGGGGAAAAAATGTTTTTATGAAGATTAGGGGAGTGCAAAAATATAGAAATATCGATATATCGTATCGTTACTGTGATGATACAGTATTGATATTGTGGGCTGATGTATCGGTATATGGCCAATAGTATTTTATGGTATATTTTAAGTTATTTTGTGTAAGAGCTTCAAAAGTGTTGACATTTTCACTGTTTTGATGAGTAAAATTTGTGTTTTTCATATTAACTTCGCACAAACTTAGTAGATTTTTAGTATCTCAGCCATAATTTAGCCTTTTTTTCACTGAACTGTATTGAATCAATATGAAATATATCGTATTGAATTGTATTGAATAAAAAGTTCACAGTACTGAAAAGCGTATCATATCGTGGCCTATGTATCGTATCAACAACTTCTTAATGTTACCCAGCCCTACAAACCATCTTACATATTTTTTAAATCTTTGATACAAAAATATCTTGTACTGCCATAACAACAACTCCACTCTTATCGTTTCTTTTTTTCTCAAATTGGCTGCGTTTCTTCCCAGTTTTCTTTGCCATCCCTCCTTATGAGTATTTTTTGGTAAATTTTATTAAATTATTTTGTTACAGCTACAGTTTTGTTGTTTGTTTAGAGGAAGAAAACTAATTTATGCAACACATTTGACATTTTCACTGTTTTGATGATTAAAATAGTTTCATATTAACTTTGCACAAGAAGTGGTTTAACAAAGACTTTTAGCATCACAGCCATGATTTTGTCTTTATTTTTTATTGAACCGTACAGAATCGATTAAAACTATATCGTATCGAACCGAATGTGCACTGTATCGAGGCATGTATCGTATCGGCAACTTCTTAATGATACTCAGCCATAATGGAGAAGGTATTGCTTTGTCTGGAATGTTTCACAGTATGGCATTAAACCTTTCTATGTTCATGGACACCAAACCAGTCCAAGTTACAGGTCAGATCTGTGGAGAGGAGACCCTGCTCACACTCAGAAAGCCTGTTTTTCAAGGTATTTTGAGCTATAAAACTACCTGTAACTGAAGACATGTAAAGTAGAGCTTGTTTAATGTCATACTGTGGAACATTCCAGACAGAGCAATGACATCTCCATGGAAACAAGCAAATGATGGACACCCTATCAAAAATATCACATCGTGCACCTTTAAAACAAGCAACTAAATTGACTAAGAAAGACTCATTTCATGTTCAGATCATTTTATTTGTCAGGTGAAATTTACTCAAATCAAGTTAAATCTTCTTAATTTGAGTAATTTGAACTTAAATAGACTTTACTTTTTGTAGCGTTTTAAAACTATTACTAAAACTACCACCATTGTCAAAGTATAATAAAGGGTTAGAGATTTTTAATTGCCGTGGTTCTGTTTTTAGCACTTCCGTCCGCCGTCTTTCTCCCTCGTGCTAAAAAGGTTCAGCGCATTCAAAAGTGGAGCAATTTGGTCCAATCGTTCATTCACAACAGGAGGCGGTGACGGAGCCGTGACAAAAGGTGAGAGGGCTGAAAATGGGTGCGTCTGAAGTGAATGATGTGAACGGGGGCTGACGTAGAGAACTGGAGCCGGAGCAGGAACGCGTTTAGATCTGATTAAACGATGCTAATAGGCCATGTGCTCAGTGACGCAGGTGGAGCATGAGACACACAAGGAGACTGGGGAGAAACACAGCCAATATGAAAAAGAAAAAATAAGAATGGAGCTGTTGTTATGGCAGTACAAGATATTTTTGTATCATAAAGACTTAAAAATATATAAGATGGTTTGAAGGGCTGGGTAACATTAAGAAGCTGTCGATACATAGGCCATGATACGATGCGCTTTTTGAGTTTTTACAGTGAGCTTTTGATTCGATACGAGATATTTCACATCCATTCAATACAGTTCAGTGCAAAAAAAAAAAAAAAAAAAGGCTAAATCATGGCTTTTTAGTGCCTCGGCTCAATTTCATTTCTCTCCAGCAACTAGGTCAGGAATCAGAATACACTAGACGGCTCGCAAAAACCTCGAAAGTGCGAGTTCGGGCACCAGCCACTCAGCGAAGAGCCATATATTCTGTGTCGGCAACGATTCCCGAGATCGAGGATTTAAAGCCGGAACAAAGAGAATGTTTGGTGAATTTTAACAAAGGGAAAGACGTTATTGCCTTTCTTTCTACAGGATTTGGGAAAAGCTTAAAGTACCAGTTAAAAGCGATTGGTTAAATTAAAAAAGTACCAACCTACCGTCGAACGAACGAATCCTAATGCTGCGAGGTCAGACGGTTTCCACAAAGTGAAACCGGCTGACGAATCAGGCTACTAAAAGTCCACTAAATTTGTGTGAAGTTAATATGAAAAACACAAATTTTACTCATCAAAACAGTCAAAATGTCAACAGTTTTGTAGCTCTTGGACAAAATAATTTCGTAAAATATACCAAAAATTACTCTTGGCGACACAGTGATACAGCAGTCCACGATATCGATACTGTATCATCAAATTAAACGATACGATATATCGATATTTAAACATTTTCGCACACCCCGAATGGTTTGTAAATATTTCATGGACATTACCCAACTCTGAAATGAAGTTAACATTGTCTAATCGCATATTGATTTCACTGATGACAATTCAAATCCTGATTTCTGAATTGCAAAAATGAGAATTAGAAAGCAAAATGAGGTCTTCACTTTGGGTTGCCAGATATTTCCATTAAAACGGCAATAAATTTTTAAGGGTTTTCTGTAATAAAATGTGATTTTAGTACATGACAGGATAAAATAGCTTGAAATCAAAATATAAAGCATGAAAATCCTAAGACAAAAAAAAACCCTGACTTGAACTTGTCACAAAAAACAAACAAAAACGTTGGCCTTATTTAACTAGAGGGTCAGAGGAAGGTCAAAGTTCAGGAGGAGTCCAAAGCTCATAAGTTCAGATCCGGTAACACTAAACTGAGAAGCACAGACGGGACAGGATTACCACCTAAGTGTCTAAACATTCAGGTCAAGACTTTACTTGGCAATATTTTTAAACGACTCCTAGACATTAAAATACGGAAACTTTTCTTTTACAGTGCATAAGATTAATAAAGCTATTGTCAAGTACTAATAATAACTGTGGCTATTTAAAGGTTAAATCAAAGTAAACAGGACATGGACGTTTATACAATGTCGTGCACTGGCCACATCTATTGTTAATTTCTTAAACCAATTGCTTTTTTCCCCCCACAGTCAGATGTTAGGATTCATTTTCTTGCTGTTGATAAATATGTCAGCAAGAAAACGCACCTGAAACCCATCTTTCTGTGTGGATGTAATGTGTTTTATTGGGTGTTTTTTAGACCTCTGAGCTGCTCTTTGTTCAGAATCACTCCATGTGTTGAATGTTTATCACTATGTGTTTTTCCTCTGGTGGGATTAATAAAGCTGAGTCCTGAATCAAGTGGCACGTATTAAATATAACTCCGGTGTCACAGTTGGCGCAGTCCTATTTCCCCACCTGAGAGCTCTGCTGAGTTTGTCGTAGTTCATTTGGGGCTTGCACTTGCGCGCCCCCCACAGACGGGCCACCTCGTCGGGGTCTTTGATGACGAACTCGCCGTAGTCCCCCTGCCAGGCGATCACCTCGTGGTACTCCTCCTTCCTCAGCAGCTCCAGGATGAAGTGCCACAGCTGGATCTGCCTGGAGCCGGGGCTGGACTCAGGTTTGTAGGCCCATTCTGGGAACGCAAACCCTGCAGACAAAAAAGAGGGACAGTTCACTACAGAGAAAAGATCGACCAACACGTGTTCAGTTAGATTTCCATTGTATTTTAGATTTTAGATTATACAGCCTTTAATTTAGTTTTAAGTCTGGGGTTTTAGTCTGGGGTTTTAAGTCTGGGGTTTTAAGTCTGGGGTTTTAAGTCTGGGGTTTTAAGTCTGGGGTTTTAAGTCTGGGGTTTTAAGTCTGGGGTTTTAAGTCTGGGGTTTTAAGTCTGGGGTTTTAAGTCTAGGTTTTAGTCTAGGTTTTAGTCTAGGTTTTAGTCTAGGTTTTAGTCTAGGTTTTAGTCTAGGTTTTATCTTTTTTTAAGTTTAGATTTTGGTCTAGTTTTTTAGTTTAGTTTTCAGTTTAGTCTAGTAGTAGTTTAGTGAAATTCTTAGATACCATCCAGCAACGGCAGCAACTTTGAGTGCCGTTTTTGTTTGTGAAATGTACTATATAAATGAAGTGTATTGGATTGCATGTTCTAAAATTTTATTAAACCATTATTTCAGAGTAATATCTATGTTTTTGTAAGAAATATCCAAATTTATGATACACAAATGATGAACCTTATTTGTTTGGGATTCGCTCCACCAACTTTAAGTCGTTTCTACTGCAACTCACAGCATTATTTTTTAAGCTATAATTATGAAAACAATTGTACCTTAGTTTAATCTATGCTCACACAGAATTTCTAACTTTGTGCCAGTTTTTGTCCAATAGTAGTTATCCAAAAAAACAGGTAAGAACAAGTAAAAGGTTGTTACAAAAGTAAGGTAAGTTCATTGACAGTTATATTTGATAAGGTACGATCTAGTAACATTTTGTGTCATCACGATGTTTTGTTTATTCAACTCAATGACCTTTGTTCTTCTTTCACCAATGTACACCACGTTTGGGAACTTCTGGTTGTGCTTACTAACCTCGAAACAATTTTATGTGATACACGGCGCTCAAAAATCTGTCAAAATGTTTTAGTACGACTTTGGTAAGCTACAAAGCCGCACCGCCTGATGGATTGTCATTGGAGCATTACAGCAACCGTAGTCAGGAGCCTCGAGGAGTAAGTCTGATAGAAGCTGAGGGCATCAGTGTACAAGGAGCGAGCGTTTTTTTTTCTTATAGTTTATGCAAATGAGTCATGTGGTTTTAAGTTTCATTTCTTTAAAACGTAAACAAATGTGCACAAAATTGCATTGAACACATTATTACTCAATGTATATTTGAGTTGTCCTCGAAGGAAATAAAAAAACTTAAATGATCCACCCACATTCACATTTATAATACACATTCACCAAGACAAGGAGGCAACGCCGGGCGAATTACGCCACGATCTGCCAATTGATCGTGGACGCCTGGGCTCAGGGAATCAGTCTCAAAGGTCGTCCGTTTGTTTCACTTAATGTTTCACTTCACTTACTGTTTGTTTAACTTAAAATAGATGAGAGAATTCAACTTTATTGATATTGCGCCTTATAATTCAGTGCGCCTTGTAGTCCAAAAAATACAGTATACTGATCTTTGAGCTGAATTGAAGACCTAGAGGAAGACCAAAGACTAGATTTAAGTCTATTTTCGATAACTACAATACCATAGCATTGAATCAATACATTAAACGGCTATTTTATAAAGCACACAAAGGAATGTTTTCGAAAAACGATCAACAGGTAACAGAGCTAAGGCAATTACAACTCACGCTCATTAACCAGCGCATATTTTCTTGCCATATGCTACCAGAGCGCGCCCAGATGTCTACGTATCTTCATTTCAATTAAAAACACCAGTTACTCAAAATCTCCCAGAACAAAACCAGGCATTTTGAAAACTTCTCATACGCCACTTTTTCCCACACTGCATCTCAATCAAAAACACGGCACGCTATCAGCATCAAAGCGCGAGATAGGCCACCGTTTTACCAGATTACTCCAACCTTGAGATACGAGAAGACAAAACAGGCGAGCTCGGTTTTATAAGCACCATCGGTAAATAATGACTCCCTCCCGCGCATGGCATTATAGTTAAAAGTGTAGATGTTTGGTAAGGAGCTGTGGGTGGTAGTAAAAGACTCAACAGAGCTCTAAAACAAGGCCGAATGACACATAACAGCGTCTACATTAGGACCAGATGTGAATAGGCTGAGAAAATGACTGAGACTGTGAAACATATGGGCCCAATGCAACAATGAGCCACTTTGTGTTTATGCAACTGTAAAGAGACACGCGCTGCTAAATACCAAGGTTACAATCGCGTTCCCACACTGGAGTTCTCCACTGGTAAAGCTGCGGCTGCGTAAATACTGAGGATGTGACGATATCCAACCCTCTCTGTACGATATTGTTTGATTTATTTATTTGTTTATCGCATTCTTAAAGTATGAAAAGACATTAAACATACAAGAAATGAATGAGAAGGAGCAGAACGAAGAGTCATCTTATGTTATCTGCCCACTTTTCCCTTTTCCAGACATTACATCAACACTGATAGTTAATTAAAAACGGTGTTTCCCAAACTTTTTTTTTTCTGGGGACCCATATTTTAAAAGTCATTCACGACCCAAGTCAAGAGACGTTATTCATAAATCACAAAATAAAAGTGGATTTGACAATTATTGAGCATTAATGAGGATATTTTATTGTTGACTGAATGATCGTGTCTCTCTGAACAATTAGTATTACTCAAGTTTTAAACAATGAAAAACCAGAAAGTCGCCTATTTGGACATTAATGTAGCTCATTTCTTTTTCTTTTCAACATTCAATTGAACCAGCAATACTAGAACAAAATAGTCGATAAAATAATTACAAAACGACTAGAAATACAAAACATGTCTTAACATTTCCACCTACATGCAGATCGTGACAAGGCGACCCCAAAAAAATCTCTTGTGACCCACCCGAGGGTCGCGACCCAGTTTTTCAATCAATACATTTCACAATATTCATTTCACAGTACGATATTTATTGGAATATTTTGGAGAGGCTTATAGAATTGTAGATAGGATACGTTCTGCTTTTAAAATGCTTTGACAAGACTTTTCTTTTAGTCATAATTAAATAAAAAGAATTAAGATTTAAAAGTGCTGATAAGAGTTATTTCTTAATGTACTAGTAATTCTGTACAAAAACTGAGTAAAGGATCATGGTCTATGTAGTTCCCTACGTTTTTTTTATAGCTATGTTGCTGCACTATAACTATTCATTCAAGTTGAGGAACTTACAGTGTCTTGCCCGAGGACACAACTACAGCAGTCATCTGTGAGAGCTGGAATTGCACTGCCAACTGGGTAAATAGGTCTGACTGCTCTTATTGTGTTTTGTTTCATTCACGCATGTTTAAGTAACGCTTTATTATTAGTCTGTCTACATCGCCAAAGCTCAAAATGCTCTGTTCCACTTTGTGATGTCATGAAGTTTTAGTTTTCAAGTTAACAGATCCTTTTATCTTTAGTTCAGTAGAGATTGGAAACTGCATGTTTGAAAGTAGCCCAATCATTTCAGTAAAAGTATGTAGAGTTTAAAAACACAGTGGAGCACTTTCTGTATCACTCATCCTAAATATGCAGGATTTGTGTGTTAAACATGTGTGAATGAAACAAAACACAACTTCAGGTCTGTTTTTGATGAGGAAACAACTAGAGGTGTGTAAAAATATTTAAACATCGATATATCGTATCATTTAATGTGATGATCGATATATCACCAAGAGTATTTTTGGTATATTTTACCAAATTATTTTGTTACAGCGCTACAGTTTTGTTGCTTGTTTAGAGGAAGGAAACTTGTTTATGTGACACATTTGACATTTTCACTGTTTTGATGATTAAAGTGTTTGTGTTTCATATGAACTTTGCCCAAGAAGTGGTTTAACAAAGACTTTTTGTATCACAGACATGATTTAGTCTTTATTTTTTATTGAATCATATCGAATCGCTTTAAAATATATCAAATTGAACCAAAAGCTCACTCTCTTGTGATATGTATCGTATCGGCAACTTCTTAATGATACCCAGCCCTAAAAACAACATTAAAACACAGCATAATAAACAGCGTAATATGGGCCCTGTAAATAGGACTCAAATGTCACCCCTTGCGTAAATATAAGTATTAGAATGAACTGAGTTATGGCAGTGATGCTCGTAACAGTCCTCGCAGTCAGATGTGAACAGCTCATGGGAGAGCGGTGATGAGGTGGTGAGGTCCAGAGGCCAAAGTCCCACTGTACAGCTCTGAGTGGATGATATAACCAATACTGCGGCATCACACGTGAACAAGTCTATTTATAGACACACGGATCAATACGTTACTTCAAACGCCGAGGTTACCCTTTCAGTGGCATTTTCTGTTTGGATAAAAAAGACTGGAGAGTTTTCAAGGATAACGAACACATAAGCGGTTCGATCTTACATAAAACTCTCAAATAAACGTACAGAACTTATGAGGCTATAACTGTTGTGCAATAGGTAGAGATTGAAGGTGACTCCAGTACTTTTTTTATTATAACTTGTACTAGGATTAGCAACTAAGACTCCTGCAATATATTTTTTTCCCTTTTAACTACAGTTCAAGTACAGCCTGTAGTGGAACGATAGACTGTATAAATTTTTTTTTTAAAGTGGACTAAGCGAGCGTGATGTAACTCATCGTGTTCAGCTCCATACGTTTTCAAATGAAGCTTGTGATGCTCATGGTTACGGTTTTTCTAGGGCATTAGATACACTACCACTCAAAAGTTTTAGAACACAGTCATTTTTCAAGGTATTTATTGCAATTCAAGTTGTGCAAGTTCAGTGAAGGGCTTGAAATGGTACAAAGTTAAGAACAGAATAGACAGAGGTTAAAGAAAAAAAAGAGAAAACAACAAAACACAAGCCCAAGCTCTGACAAAACTACCTCAGGAAAAAAGAACAAGATGGTAAACTTGAAAACATGGAGTGTCCAGCACAGTGTCCAGACTTAAACCCCATCGAGTTGGTTTGGGATGAACTGGACAG